CGTCATTTGCTAAACAACTTAATATCCCGAGCGAAATGTCATCCCAATGCAGCAATGAAACATTGAGTCATTTTACGATGACGCAAATGGGCACGCAGAGCCATAGAGACTCGCCATTAGTGTTCAGAGTCCTATCATGCTCTCCGGAGACTGATCTATGCACCCAGGTGTTCCGTGCCCCCGGCGACAGGCAGATAGTATTGGAGGGACCGGCGGAGCAGCGACCGTCTGCACCGTATGTATGTACAGTGCACAGTGCACAGTCTCTTAGGGCAGGGCCAGAGTCGGTGGTGCGTATCGGCAGCCACGAGCTTTACTCGGGCCGCGACAGCTTGATTTATCGGGTTATGTGTATGTGTAAGGATGCGCAGCGCACTCGCCTATCACGCAGCCGAATACCATGAGCCATGCGTTTCCTGCAACTGTCAGCCGGATGACTTTTTTCGATGCTGAGTTTGATTGAGATAGCTTGAGCGTGGGCAGAAATTGCCAAGCGAAATTATCCGAACCCATCAAACGCACGCGCAGAAAAATGGCCAATAAAGAGTTGGAAACGATCCGGGCCGGCCAGCCCATCGGTAATGGTCTTCACCACCGGTGACGGCGAGAATCGGCCAAATTGGTTAATTAGTGAAGAAAACTACGCCCTGCGTTGGCCCGTGCTCCTCTAATCTGCCGAAAAACAGACACATTTCCTCGCGCGCGGCCCGGAGCGCCGCGGTGGATTTGAGCGGCGCGGTTCAGTCTCGCCCTGGGGCCGCTCATCGGCCGGGCCTCGGACGGCGATTATCCGCTCGACTTTGTCTCATCAGCGCCGCCCAACCCCAGCCCGGCCCGCGCACCGCCGCGGTCGGCCGGCGCTTTTCTTCAAGGCCAGCCGGTCCTAATAGCCTGCGCCAAATCGTGCGCCCGTGTGGTGGACAGGGGAGTGACCGCAGCTCCAACGTACGAGCCTGCCCGTCCATCCGCCCGCAGCTCTTCACCGAGCTGGAAAAGACCGAGTCTGTGCCTTTAGCTCAATCCCCACCGTATGCCACTACAGACTGCACGAAACCTCTAGCGGATAGCCTCCTAGCGTAATTCGGGCCTGGGCCCACTGAGGTGCGCGTATTTACAAATTGCAACCGAGCTCCGCCGTAGGGTATTTTATTTCCGCCGTAGTGTATTTCACTTGGGGGATTCTCTACCATACATCTGGCCTGAGCTTAGGGTAATTACAATTTGTCGGCGACGTTCAAAAATGATGCACCTTTTTTCGCAGTATAGGATATCGCATGTGCATATTTCTGCCTTTTCGGGTGCGCTTTATCGGTTTTTCGTGAGTAACTCGCGTAAAAACCGTCCGATCGCGACGAAACTTTCAATACCCCCGATTTTATCAATTTTACACCTACCCTGAAAATTTCATGACCCTGACCCAAATGACCTTTGACCTGTGACCTATTTCTCGAGACCATGTTTGGCCCGAACCGCGATTCGGCGTATGTCGGCTCGCATTAGCCGCGCGGTTGCAGTTTTCACGTGGTTTCAAGCGTTGAAACATGTGAAATGATGCTGGTCCCATGCATTAGGGTGGGTGTCAAGGTCACCTGAAGGTCAGGTCAGCTCAATGACCTTTGATGACCTCGGTTCACTTTTTCGAGTTTTACATGTTTCTAGGCTAGTTTTTGGAGCTGATTTCGAATTTAGCAACCATTTGAACATCACAGCGGGTGTAACGAAATTATCCAGACACCTTTCTTCCCGCTGTAAAAGCAAAACAATCTGGTACTTTTTCTTTTAACCGAGCTGGTAGCCACCTTTCATAAAAACACAGTTTACTCACCTCGTTGGTTTCTGCATATATTTGGAGTGGTTTCAAAGGACAGTCAGAGAGGAAATGAGGAACCCACACAGTGGCAAATGTTCTGGAGCATTTCAGCCAATGGATTCTCCAGCACACTGGCTTTGATGCGGACCAACGCCGTCTAAACCTGTGCCTGCGGTTGAGCAGTGCTTATGGCGGGTGGCTCTTCATACACCTCCTGCTGACCAAGAGCCCACAGGTTTTCGATTGAATTGGGATCGCGACTTTTTCCAAGTCATAAGCGTTAGCCCAGAATGATTGAAGGTTCTATCGGCATCAATTCCCGTTCTTTTAGGGACTTTCAAGTAGCGCGCCGCCACGCATGAAGTCAGCGTGGCTTTAATCAGGCATCAGTGCGCGTTCAGAAACCGTGCCCTCCTATGCCGTCTGGTTGAGCGCCTCCAATCATGCTCCACCACCTTCCCTGGAAAAGCTCCACCCTATCCTATGGGGCAAAATATAAGGGACAAAAACACAAAACAAGACAGATAAAAACAAAGCAAAATTAACTCATTACCTAATGAAATTCAGGCTGGAGCAAAAACATAGGTAATAGGTTATGTCAAATTAGAATGAAAGATTAAAATCAACCTGACCAGACCTTACGGTCCGACCGGGTCCTAACCACCTTACTTCGCCTAACTTGACCCAGTTCAACCTAGCCTACCACAACACCTGCAGAGTGCAGAGGTACCTTCCTGGAAAAATGACGCCCAGGGAGATGACTGTCCAACTTATTGAAATACTACCATGATTGCTTGTCAAAATGTGTGTCATCATGCTCTTGTTTGACAAGTGATGTATAATAAATGTGATATTCAATAATTACTCCTGACTGTTGACTGTTGAGTTATCAAACTATTCAAATAGGGGAGAGTGGGGCAAAGCGGCCACCCGGGGCAAAGCGGCCACCCATCGTTTTAGCCCTTCATAGCTGGCGTCAGTTCCAATTTATGGTTTCCAATTATACTTCTCTTCACGGTCGTTCAAATGAGCCAGACCGGGGTTTCAGGCCCATCACCATTGTTCTGTGAAACACGGAAAAGCCTTTCTTGCCAGGTTACCAACTATGTTTACTATTTTTAAATGTTCAGTTATTCTATAACCGTTTGGAATTTTTATAAGCGTTCTTGTCCATGCAATGCATGATTATCGCACATGTATTCTACCAATTTTAATGTTTCTTATCCCACTAATAGCTAAGCTGGAATATTTTTGTCTCGGACGGTATGCGTGGGGCAAAGTGGCCGGGGCAAAGTGGCCACCCCCCAATTGGCCATAAGTTGCTTCTATCTGGATAAAAAACATTATTTATATTCAAATGTGTCGTCATGCATTCATCTTGGCCACTTTTCAGTTGCATGAGTTACCAACTAATACAATTAAATGTTTATTTTCATGAAAATCCTTTTCTTTGTTTACCTACAGGTGGAAGATGATAAAGTAAACATCCATCCTCGCTTAACCTTGTCACCATCAAATACCCTAGTCGTACACGAGGCAACTATTTTGTTTCTCATATCGGGACTTGAGAAGACGCCGGTGGCCGCTTTGCCCCAGGGTATGGGGCAAAGTGGCCAATATGCATAGGTTTAAAGTTTTGTCAATATCTTTCATATGTGAGCGCCTTTGGAAATAAAACGCAGTTGAAATACAGGGCAACTTAATAGGGATCACATTGGTATAGAAAGAATCTTTCCAACTTTAAAAATCAAGCGTTGGCATCGTGAGAAGCGTTAGGGTGGCCGCTTTGCCCCACCCTCCCCTAATCAGGGTACAATCCTGTGCATAGTGCACACTAATCATGTTGTTTTTGTGTAGGCCCTCTGCACATTGTTGTGTGCACTGCTATGTGCACCTTAAGTAAAAAAGTGACTGGTGGTACATGACAAAAGGTTGAGCAACTGTGAAGTTCATGCCCTTGGTCTTGCTGGTGCCAAATGCCTATAGCTAGGATCAGTGAGGGTTGTAGACATGCTACATACATTGTGCATTGAAGATATTGGCACAAAGTTCATCCGTAATTACTATGCTTAACACCTAATGCAAGAAGCGACATAAATGCCCAGATGATAAAGCTCTCTGGTCAACATCACACAAATTTATTGACATACTTTGCAGGTACATATTTACATTCATGGCAAATACTTTCGATTTGATTCAGAAACTAGTTGCAAGTAAGCTTGCATTTTTGTAGGTACAACGAGTCGACCATATATTAAATCACAAAAAACCTTCTCATGGCATTCATCAATACCTTTCTACCGAACAAGTACCTTATACCTAGCTTCCATGTAATGATTCTAAAATTTGTCCGCAATCCATCTATATCTCAACTGACACAATGAATTTCAAATACCTACCCTAACAAAACCTATAACTGTACATAAGAAGAATGCAATATTACAAGAATTATGAATTTCTGAAGTTATTCTCACATGCTGAATGTTGACACTACTTTTGTCGTCCATTTCCATGTTGGATTGAGCCATCATATAGAACTGTTTCCGTTCTACAGTCACAAGCTTTCCCACAAATCTTGAATTTTTACACATCATCTTGAACCATGCTCCAGTCTTTCCAACAAAGCAATTTTGATTTGTTGCAACAGCTTCAGATCATGATATGCTTGAAGTTTGTTACACCATTTGTCAGACAAATCTCTACAAAATGTGTATCAACTCCCAAACTAAGTAATTGATCATATCAGTATTTGCAGTTTCCACACATTGTTTCATAATACTATTCTATGTTTATATAAAGAAACTCAAATAATCCACAAATTGTTATTGAAACACTCTCACTTCAAGAATTCACAGCAATAACAGTACAAGTTCAGAAGTAAACAAACATTGCGCCACATTTCGTATGAAACGCGCCATCGCCCTGAAGTTTCTACCACAGACGGTAGTTCAACCGCAGCCGTAGTGCGAAAACCCCTGCCCACCTTACCCCACGGCGGAGCTCGGTTGCAATTTGTAAATACGCCTGAGGTGCACGGACACCGCCACGGCGCGGCGGCGGGCTCTTCGAAACAGAGGTTAGACGTGACCGCCGGCCGACCAATGAGCGCGCGAGGCGGACGGCGGCGGCGGCCGAGGCAGCGGCGGCGGCGGCGGCGGCGGCCGAGGCAGCGGCGGCGGCGGCGGCGCGCGGCAGTGTGCCGCTGGACCGCGTGGTGGGCGCCGCTCGCGCGTTGCGTGGACGTTGAGAGCGCGTGACGCGAAGTTCGGTTTGTGTTACGGACTGATCGAAGTTGCGATTTGCGACTGTTCCTGAACTGAGCAGAGGAAGCCGATTGTAGGCTTGGATCACTCGCAGAGGTATGTTTTTTATTTAAACTCTGACTTGGCGCCAACTTAAAGATGTTTCGCCTCTCAACTAGTTTGTTGCTTTTTCATTTTATCGCGGTGTGTCTGTGTGAAAATATGTATGATGAATGTTTTGGAATCTAATGTTGTCTTTGATGAGCCAAGATGTCTGCGATGCAAGCCTAATGACAGCGCCACTGAGTGACCTTTGCCCCATTGCTCGACTAGTTTGTTGAATTAGCGCGTACTTCTGTATGGAAAATTCAACACGTCACATTTCCCGCGAGGACTACGTCAAATGCCATCTCAGCTGGAGCGAATCTTCTGTGTTGCATCACCCGACTGAGATATTTGTTTATGTCCCGGCGAGTCAGTCTCCGGGGAAGCAGGCCCCGTCACTGGACTGGCCTCTGTACTTTGAAACGGTCCACTAACTCAGTTTACACCAACAACATACGGCAGACGACCCTGGCTCGTTAGTAGGTACTCGTACCTTTCGGTGGTATCGTGGCCGGCCCGGCTGTCTCGGAGGTCGTCCCTTCTGTACGGCTCGTCTCTGGCACACACGGCAGCGTCTGCCGTTCCCCGAACTGCCTGTTTATCGTTCGACCGATGCTGCTGTCCGAGAAATCACTCGATCGAATTACTGGCCTGGCCGCACTGACGGCTGGCGGCCGGTGGAGCTCAGGCCGGTGTCAGGATTTGCATAGAGATCGTGGCCGGGCCGCCGCCGGCCCGTCTGGGCAGCCACTGAGTGGCGGAAGAGCGGCTTACCAGCCACTTAGTGAAGGCGCGGATCACGCCAGTGCGCAGGTGGTGGCCGGCACGGCGAAATCACGCAGTCCGGGCGCGATGGAACTGGAATGTTACCACTGGCGAGTACTACGACTTACGAGGAGTAACGTAGAATGTTATAGTACGCGGCAAACAGGAAAATCCGCGACATGAGTAGGACGGGTTGGACGGAATGTTACTAGCATTGGTGGACAAAGAGCATTCTAGGTATACATGATGCTGTGCCAGTGTCCTGTTTCTAAAACGATGGCTGGCTGCATTGAGGTTTTGACATAACATGTCAGTGTAGCGTTTCATTCCTATAACGGATTCGTTCGTGCTTGTATGCCGAGACATCACTGGTGATATAAGGCCAGCGTTATTTTTTCTGGATTGTACAATGTAGGTAGTTGCATTGAATATGAGGTAGACCTGAAATCAGAACCTGTTTGACAAGAGGACGGTAATTTATAAATCACTACGTTGACAAGCATTCGATGACATTTTGAAAACACTGCAATCCAGGCGCCCTGTCATTTCTTAGAGAGAAAAACAGCCGTCCGAACAAAATAGACATCCAGTAAATTGGCACTGGCAATTTGCAACTGGGTGCAGATTATCTTCATCGTCTCCTGTCTTTCGCAAAAATTTACGTATGTACGCCTAATTATGCGGCCTGCCCTTCTATTGCCTGAAGTTATGCCGCATGTGAAATAATTCAAATGAGCTGAATGAATATTGCGTATTCGCTCGCGGATTGCCAGTCAGACACTAATGCAAAAACTGATGGTAGCGGTGCAATTTTTGCAATGGCTGAAATGACCAAATAATTGCGGTATGTGAAAGTCAAACGAGCGACAGTTAATTCTGCACGCATTTTTGTGATCACATCCAGTTGATCAGCGGCGCTCAAACAGAATCACGCGTCGCCGGCGATTTAGAATAAATCAGAGCGCGGACATGTGAAGCGCCGACGCTAATGGTTCGCCGGCACTTCCAACAACTGTCTTCTGTACGTTATTATCTCACTCGGTCGGCGCGGCGGGCCATTTAACCCGCGCGGGGCTGGGGTCTCCAGCCGAACGCGCGGGGCTGGGGGGGGGGGTAAATTTTACCCCCCCTGTTATCTCCCGAACTAATGGTCCGATTTGGAAAATTCAAACGCCAATCGAAAGCTCTCATCACGAACTACTAAAAACATGTACTTAATTTAAAGTTTGAGGTCAAGGTCAAGGTCAGGTCAAGGGTACAAATTGCAAGTTTCTACAGTATCGGCCTTGCGCCGTAGTTGCCGAAGAATGGAGTCATGGACTGAGAATGATCGCCCAAAACGTGTTCTTAGGCTACCAAGACAATATTCGTTGCATACAATATCATTCAGAGGTCAAGGTCAAGGTCAGGTCAGGTCAGGTCAGGTCACCAAAAAACAAAATATAGAAAAGGGCATGTGCGACACATGTTTTATGGGTCATTTTACTCATAGAATTCAATAGGCACACTCAATAAGTGATATGGACCACCTCTGGATGAATTTCAGGTCGAGGTCAGGTCAAGGTCAGGTCAAGTGAGGTCAAATTTTGAAGTTGGTTGTTAAGGCCTAAAAAGGTGTCTATCTGATGCAGTTTTTCACGGCGAATCGAATGGTGCTATTTTTGTTTCCGTACGAGGTCTAGAACTTCCAAAAAAGTCATTTTTCGAAAATTTTGTGTGTCGTGACGTCATAAAATTTTGAATAACTCCCACATTTTTGAACCGATTCTTCTAAAATTTGGTATGTAGGTGCACATAGACTACGTCTCTGACATATATTCCGGTTTTTTCGATAAACTCAAAATTTTGGATTTTATAATGATTTTCCCAAAAAAATCAGTTTTTTGAAAAAATTTAGGCCAAAATCCAAAATTTTCAAAAAACCGAGATAGCCAATTGATAGACAAAGTAAAATTACGTATAACCTTTTTTGTTACGTCTTGATTCCTTTAAAAATGAAGATGTAAGCGGCGTTTGAACTTTTGCCGTTTTTGAGGCGAAAATGGCGAACATGACGTCACTAAAACGTCAATTTCTCAAAAATTTTCCGACGGATTTCGCTCAAATTTTCAGGGAACGTGTCAAATTGATGTAAGAAAAGGTACTGAAAGTTTGGCGGCGCTGCGCGCCGCCGTTTTTGAGATATCGCAAAAATTCGCGAGGGGGGGTAAAATTTACCCCCCCCCCAGCCCCGCGCGGGTTAACGCTGGCGAGCGGAGCGTGCAGAGCAGCCCCCCTCATCCTCACTCTCCCCTCCCGCCTGCACCGTGCTCACTGCGCCGAGCCAGTCCGTCAGCGCAGCTCATAACAGAGGCTCGCGTTGCACAGCTCCATAATCAAACGGTGTCAGAATGCCCCCTCATGGGCCCGGCCGCCGTGTACCACTACGCTCCGACCGGCTCTTAGCCTTGGCGGGGCCCGCCTGGGTGGCCGTCTCCAGCGCCGCCGGTAACGTAAACATTTTCGGCGCGACTCTGGGCTGAGCTGATGCCAAGGCTTACCTCCAAGCTCACAGACGCGATCATCTTACCATTGATGGTGGCTATTTTAAGTCTGCATATCTGCCTAGGATATCATGAGACGCTGACCACTTTTGGATCAATCGCCATTTAGATAAGATGCCAAAGTAATGCACAGGACAAGTCCACGTACCCGTCCCATTTATCAGCCTTTCAGAGTCCGACTAGCAACAAGACATCCAACCGTGCTTGGAGAGCAGCTCACAGGTCATTACCCGCCACCCCCGCCCCACCTGCGGTCGGACTGTGGACCGCGCAGTGGGCGTTACTATACGAGCGAGGGGCACTACGCAGCTCACCCCGGACGCGTACTACGCGGCCCGGCGCTGTTGCTGGGCGTGCTCTGAGCACGGCGCGGCGTGCTGACCACTGTGTGCACCGTGCAGCCGGTGTGTGTATGTGGGCGCGGTGCTGTGTGCAGGTTGATGTCTCGCCACTATAGCGCACCACGGTGCAGCGCGGCGGTGGCGTCAGAAAGGTCCTGACCCGGTGTCGGTAGGGGTCACCGGCCCCCGCCGCCCCTGCGCCGCCGCCGCGGAGTTTACAAACTGCCCGGCGCGCGGTCAGCCGATTTGGCCGGAGTGTTTGTTCAGCGCCACACCGCCGGCGGTACACAGACATACAAACACACACTGGGGAGAAGGGGCAGCACGGGGCGCCCGCTGCGGTCAATTTGGCGTGGCCACCGTGCCAGGTCTTAATTAGGTGAGGCCGCCGGTCTGATTTATACGCACATTACGCAGCGCTGGCGAGTGGACGCTGCGACAATAGAGGCGGCGGGGCGGGGGCGACGGGGGCGGCCGCTACTGCAGGCTATCACGCCGACCCCGCCGCCGCCCCCGCCGGATGGATTGCCCCGAGGCAGGTGACCGACCGCCCGCCGCGCCGGAGCCGCGACCACGATGGATTGACCGCCCTCAGGAAGGTGGTAAACCTGCCCCAGTTTCGGGCAATGGTGTCGGGTCAGCGCGATGGGAACGGCGGACCGGCCGGCGGCTGTTGTGGCGGACTCAGCGGGAGTCAGTCACGCCTGCTCTAGATGACGCTTGATGACGGTGGTGGAGATGACGCCGCTCCGTCACCGCCACCCGATGACCCCTCGACAGCTCCGTGGGATGCGCCGTGATTCGAGCTGACGCCTTTGTACGATTTCCAGCCGTGACACGGCGGTGCGCCGTTCTGTGTCAGTCGGGTACCGCCCGCCGTGAGCGGCCGTACTGCGCCTGTGCGACCGTCGCACCCCGCCGCGTCACCGCGTCACCCGACAGCCACCGCTCGTGATCCGAGTGTTACCTGACGTCACAGAGCAGCGCCTGTGTTCCGGCGGCGCCTTCGGGAGCCGGGAGGAGGTACGGGAACACGACCGGACGACCAGCGGCTATAGCCGGCCGGACAGGCACGGGAACACGACCGGACGACCAGCGGCTATAGCCGGCCGGACAGGCACGGGAACACGACCGGACGACCAGCGGCTATAGCCGGCCGGAGGCACGGGAACACGACCGGACGACCAGCGGCTATAGCCGGCCGGAGGTACGGGAACACGACCGGACGACCAGCAATATAGCCGGCCGGACAGGCACGGGAACACGACCGGACGACCAGCGGCTATAGCCGGCCGGACAGGCACGGGAACACGACCGGACGACCAGCGGCTATAGCCGGCCGGACAGGTACGGGAACACGACC